TCAGATAGAGGGCCTCAATTTGCTTCTAAATTCTGGAGGCAACTATTCAATCTACTAGGAACCCAAGTCAATCTATCAACAGCTTACCATCCTCAGTCAGATGGTCAAAGTGAAAGAGTTAATTAAGTGTTAGAACAGTATCTAAGATGTATAATTAATTATTATCAAGACAATTGGAACGACTTACTCCCACTAGCAGAATTCGCTTATAACAACTCGATCCATGCTTCTATCAAAACCACACCCTTTTTTGCCAATTATGGCTTTCATCCTCACTTCGACTTACAGACACCGTTTCACTCTTCAGTCCTCTCTGTGGAAGATAAGGCTGCTCAACTGCAACAAATAAAGAAAACACTCATTAATGAATTGAAAAGTGCTCAGAAACATTACAAAGAAAATGCAGATCGTAGGCGCCAAGAGGGTCCTAATTTCAAAATTGGTGACAAGGTCTAGCTTTCACATCGAAACATTCATACCAATCGGTCCTCTGGAAAACTAGACTATCAAAAGCTGGGCCCATCTACTATTTCAAAAAAAATAAATCTAGTGGCATATCGCTTAAACCTACCTCTTACATTCAGGATCCATAACACATTTCACGTTTCTCTACTAGAACTATACACAGCCAACTCAATTCCCAGCAGAAATTTGAATCCACCACCTCCAGTAGTTGTTGAAGGTAAAAATAAATATGAAGTTAATGAAATATTTGATGCCAAATTAGTCTGAAAGAAGTTATACTACCTAGTCGACTGAGAAGGCTATGATATAAGTGAACGCTTCTGAAAACTTGCTGAGAACGTAGCCCATGCCGAAGAAGCAGTTAAAAAGTTTCATCAACATTATCCTGATAAACCGGGCCCAACATGAAAGATGCACAGGCACATATAAAAAAGGAAAAAAATTAAAGGGAGGCCTCTAAGGAGGGAATAGTATTACAATCAAGCCCCCACGACCCAAGCCCGTGACCCAACTTACGATCCAAGCCCGTGATCCCAATTTAAGCACTTCTCCAACACATGAATTATCAGTCATAAATTAATTAGTAATAACGATAATGATAGTTAATAGTAAAATTATCATAATAATCAAACATATAGTTTAAGTGCATAAATTATGAGGTCATTAGTTAGAGTAATTAGTAGTTAGCATTAGTAATCGATAAGCAAAATTAGTTTTAACAATAGTATATAAAGACGACACAAGTCTCTTGTACAAAGCAGTCTGTTCAATACAAACTGCCCCCTCTAGTGCAATAAATCTGCTTCTCAGTTTTTTGATTTCCGTAATAAGCACCCAAATCTAACATGTTTGTTGCAAAAATAGTTTCCAAGACCTAGCCCTCCATTACACTATTTATATATTTTTTAATACAAATTGTAATTCTTTAGCAATAATTATTCTATTTTATAACTACATATATATAGAATAATATATCAACTTAATAATAACTGTTTTTTTAAAGTATAAAATATATTAAAAATACAGTATAATTTGTTTTTAAAAGAAATTTATATTAAAATAGCTTATTTAGCAATCCAAGAGTTCTCAAACTAGTAGTGACTTTACTATACCAAGTTTGGTTAGAATTTCCAGATCAATCATATATTCATCACACTTTCTAATAGCATTTTGTGTATCTTTATGATTGTCTTGCACGATAAGAATAGTCTTAATAGCTTGGCATACAAAAACACCAAGTTTTTTAAACATTTTAAGATTTTCTTTAATGCTGTTTGATTAGTCACCTTCATATGCATATATAATACTTTCCTCCAAATTTTCTTAGTAATAAATTTATTTACTTCATCATAAGGTACTTCTGTACTATTTATTTGTTAGTTTACTTAATTAATATTAATTAATAATTATTTATTATATTATTATTACGAACCTTGCATTCATTAATCTAAATTTATTCGTTAACTTTACTATTGCAATATAAAATTTATAATGATAAGTAATATACCATCCACCAATATCTTTGACTAAAGATCCTAATCTGCGATCAGTTTTGGTGATTTTGCAAACTTTCATAACAATTTCTTCATATGGGGACTTCCACAGCAAAAGGTGGTGATGGAACAATCATGTGATTTTGAGAAAATCACAGTTGAAGATCTTCATATGACTAATTTTGTATAGTAAAATAACGAACAAAATTTAAATTTTATATACTTTTCACTAATGTATCTAACAAAATAAAGGTATTTTTAGA